CTCTTCGTCGGGGACGGAAGCGCAAAGCGGCCAAACATGGGAACCATCGATCAACCCCCATATTACGCCATACAGGTGACTCCGGGAGACGCGGGCACCAAGGGCGGCCTGCTGACGGACGAACATGGGCGCGTGGTAGATACACGCGGCAATGCTATTGACGGTCTATACGCGGCCGGCAACTCATCGACGTCGGTCATGGGTGCTACGTCGCTGGGAGCCGGGGTCACTCTCGGCCCAGCTATGACATTCGCACATCTTGCGGTACTGCATTTGTCCGACAGACAGAAGGCCAGGGGCGAGCGAGGCTTTTCTTGTCCGGTCAGAGAGGTAGCGATATAGATGCATGGTGACATCGCGGTGTGCTGGTCGGTCGGCTGGACTCTGATAACCGTATCAAAAATAAACAGTTTCCCAAGTCGGAAGATTTACTCTTGAGTGCCACGTTATCATGCTTGTGCCCGGAGTGACCAAAAAGATGTAGCGTCTACCTCGCATCAGCCATCCGCTGTGTCAGAATGTCATATAGACGGAACTATTTGATATCTTGAATGCATGGGTCTTCACCACTGTTTTATACAAGTAAGCCTCGGGCAAGGCGGCACACTTTCCTATGTCGCGAAGTCACGTATAGAATACTGGGTTTTTCGGCGCGCCGTGCTTAAGTTATTGCCTGGATCCTTTTGTGAAATATCTGTCACGGGATCGCGTGCCAGGGTGGTGTCAAGGGTATCGCGAGTCATGGCGAAGCCATGACCCCTTTTCTTGCGGCGACGCGCCGCTCGCACAGCGCGATCTCTCTTTTCTCTTCTTTGCGTTACATCTTATATCTAGACCTGACCCTACGGGTCATCACAATCCATCTGCTACTTGGAACCTGATCTCTACAGCCGTGACCCTCACACCTACTTCCGAATCGGCATCTGGACATTCACTGAAACTTGATAAACCTCGCCTGCAAAAGTACATCTTTTATCGTCCTTCTATCGCCTCAAATCTCGGTCACGACGACAGGGTCGTCAGCGGTTGACTAAGTGACACAGTCTAGGTACGCCATATTCGTAGCTCTGACCTTCTCATCTACCGACTTCTAAAGCTTCGCTTTCTGAGGCGGGTTTCCTGTGCCCTTCCACTCATTGCCATAGGCAGGCAAACGCGTAAGAAAATTCTTCAAGGCCTCGCAATTGATGATGGGAGCTGTGGTGTAGTCTTTAGCATTGGTCCTCTTACCAGTTCC